GACCCTTTCTGATCAGCAAAACTACCAATGGAATTTAGCCAGAGGGCAAGTGAAGGTTAAAGGGTCATGAATTAGTGGAGAATAATGATCTTCATTATGAATTCACAGGCTTCCCCCTTCAGTTGATAAAAGAAAATTCAGTTTCTAAAACAAAACAGTAGTAGATATTCATATATTAAATGTAGGTATATAAAAAGACCCAATGCTTGAGTCAGCATCAACTTTCCCCCAAAGTTTAAAATATTTTAATATTCTATAATTTATAACTAGCAATATATTCTAGCAATAAAAGGGAGATTGAGAATCAAAGCCAATGTAGTAAACTGAACTGTACTAAACAATTATTAAAATTTTTAAATGTATAATTTAAATAGATTCCATGTTGTACACTTCAAATTCCAAGTTTAAACTGAATTTTTTAAAAAAAGTAAATTTGTTTAACCCTAAGGTTTAGCTTTGGCTAACATAGTCAAGTTCTACTGTTTTATGGTGCCCAAATATAAAATGAGTTTGTTTTCCAAGCTTGTCTTCTGAAAAGGAGGTATTACCTAGTATTTCAAAGTGTCTTATTATATTGATCTCTTTATATAACAAAGAACTAATTGAGGAAGACCCTTAAAATAATTCAGACAAATGTAATCGTGCAGGTAAAAAAAGATAGACAAAAGCAGTGGAAGGGAAGCAAACAAAACCTAAAGCAGATTTAGTTCTTATTCCTGGGGGGGGGAGGGGGGGTACCATGAACTAGCAATTTCTAATGTTGGAAATTGCTGTAAACAAGTCTTTTATAAAAGGGATAATGTTATGTTTGCCAAAAAAGTGTAATCTGAGTTTAATTATGAAGGAACTTCAAATCAAGCCAAATCAACAGCCATTTACAAAATAACTGGCCAATAGTCTTCAAAAATGTGTAAGAAACAGAGACTCTAATGAACTATCTACTCTGTCAAGGGAAACAATGGAGTCATGACACCTCAATGTTTCATGATCCTGGACTGGATCTGAGGCCCAAAAAGGATGTTAGTGTTTCTTTTGAAAGGAGCCTCAGTTACTTTGGTCTCTCAAAACAAAAACCCAGCATTCCCTTGTATGGAAAACAATTTCTACTAAGCAAAATATGATACTTCTTAAAAGTTTTGGGGGGTAAGGAGATTACCACACATGATCTTGAAAGCGCTTAACTATTTTATAGCCAAAGATGTTTATAAGTTTAATAGTACATTTTGTGTTTAAAATATCTTACTTTGTTCTTAAAAAGCTATATTTTCTAAAGTAAGATTTATAAACTTTGCTACTTCCTGGCTCATTCCAGGGTATTTCAAACAAAAGTGGCCTCATTTCAGACCCAGATTATATCTTCTAACTGAAGCTTGAATTTAAAATGTCCATGATGATTATGAAGTACAACAAACAGAAGAGTCACCCCATCTTACCTGTCTCAGGCTTTCCGACATCAATAAACTCAAATGCATATTTTGTCTGTTTACTATGGAGTCCATATGGATCACATTTGTTTACAGTGCATTTTGCTACCACAAATGTGGATGATTAAATACCCAATATGCACCAAACATTTAAAAACAAAATTGGCATGGGGACAGCCACCCAAGTGAACCACATAATGATCCCAACTGTACAACTCTGACATCTCACCATGGTGAATGCACTCACCTCAGGTGCATTCCCACCTGGCAGAGCAGGCCAACACTGATGCCAGAAAGCATTATTCTTTCTCAGGACATTAACTTCATGTCCAAAAGTTGGAGGGTGGTGAGTCCTAAAATCTCTTGGCAATGGGTTTTAGTCATTAATTAGTTGATGAAAAAAATCGAGCTGCACAGTCAGACGTGTGATCGTTGGCACCATCAGAGATGGGATTGCAGGAGGCATTCTGGAACGTCTGCGCCTCTCTGCTGCACTTCAGCAGACACTTCCCTCCTCCACCTCCCCACACAATCATGCTGTGGCTCCCTGAGGCCCTGAGCATGGGCCCGCCCTGTCATATCCTATGGCCATGCCGACTGCACATGGGGATCCCACCTGCCAAAGGTAGAAGAGCCCCCAAGGCTTGCCTACTCCCAGCTTAGGCCATAGGAGAGCAAAGCACTTCTGCTCCAACTCCTCCCTGCAAATGCCTGGGGAAAGTTCAAACTGTCCAGGACACTGCTTTAACTGACTTAAAATACAGTGCTACTTAGTGATTTTGGTCAAAAGAAATCTATTTGTTTTTTATAAAAATGTACTTTTATTAAAAAAAAAGGACATAGTAGAGAGAACACACAACAAACTCATAGTCAAACCTTCTAAGGTCACACTTTAATATTTTACTTTTTTTAAAGAAAAAACTGGTTAGTTTTATTTTAGAAGCTCTTTTGCATGCAGAATTTGGTAGGTTGTACAAAGCTATGGGCTGAATTTTTTTCTTTAATTTATACATTCACTAAATTTAAGTTCCATTTTATGTTGTTCAAAGGCTTGTTTTCTATAAATTATAACATTATATTTATACTTTACCTAATTCTGTACCATAAACAACTTTCTGTGTTAATAGTCTTTTAAACAAATAGCTGTTTAATATTCCAAGTAAGCAACTGTAATGGATTCTACTTGACTGTTTCCTCGACAATGAACTCATCACCATCACTTAAAAAAGAAACATTCAGGCCCTCCCTGGTGGCGCAGTGGGTTAAAGCACTGCACTGAGAAGCTAAAGCCACTTCCGCATGAGTTCGATTCCTGCCTGCCCCGGAGGTGACCACATGGCGTGGCAGACCTCTCCTGACCCGCCCGCTGCTCCCCTCAGCAGTGTACTTTGTCGACCTGCCTGTTCTGCCCCCCACTCTGTCTCTGGTGAAGCCTCTCACCACTCCTGAGCCTCTGGCCTATACCCCAGTTCTGTATGAACAAATAAATAAATCTTAAAAAAGGAACATTCATTTACTGAGTTCCTACTATCTCAAGTCACTGAATAAGCATTGTAAGTACACAAGTACTTACACTCCTCTTAGCACAATTTCATAACTATAAAAGACACAAACAGATAAAGCATAAATAGAAGTGTGTATTTTCTATGTGACTCTATGCCATTTAACTGATTTTAAATAAGTTTATAGAATTGAAATATTCCAATTTCCTTTCTTTGTACCATTTTTATAATTTTATTTATCTTTATCTGCTGGATTTACCTTGAATGACTGATTAGAAAATCATGAAAGCAACCACAAGAGAAAAGAATTCTGAGCATCATTAAATATTTTATCTTAAAAACATTTCCAAACAAAATATTAACTACACCTGCACTTTAGAGAAAATTGCTGTATTATGTAATATTGGGTTGGTCCACCTGGGGAGGGCGATAATTCACTATGGTTTTCTTTAGGTGGTGGGACTGGGAGTGAAAAGCAGACAGACTTAGAGTCACAAAAACATAGATATAAATCTTCCTTTCAGTCCTTAATGAGCTGTGTGCTCTTTGGCATGCTACTCAAATCTCACTGTGTCTCTGTTCTCCCGTTTGTGAAAAGGAGGTAATACAACATTTACCTTGTAGGATGAAGTAAGGATTCCAGAAAATCTATATAAGGGCCAAGCATGTACCTAGGATATAATGAACACTGAATATGTTTCTATCTATAATAAGTTTATATTCTGCTTTGAAAAGACAAACATGACTTTAATTACAAAAAAGAAAAATTAGATTTCGAGGCTGCATTGCTAAAAGTGAATTGTGAATTCATCACTCATTTCAAGTGAAGAGTCTAAGTCTTGAATATTAAAAACTCAAAACTCTAGATATGTAGAGGACATACTGCCTCAGGGTTATTTCGGAAGCTTCTGAGATGGGAGGAAGCAGAAGTGGCAGGAAGCACCTCCCCCAGTGACTAAACAAGTTGAGGTACAAAGGTAAAGAAAGACTAAAGACAGCCTGGATGCTACTTGTGTTTGAGAAACTGCCTGTAGAACTTGAAGGCAGCCAGATTTTATCTAAAACCTATATCCCAGGGCCCCTTTGGTGGCGCAAGGGGTTAAAGCACAGCACTATGAAGCCATCCACAGCCAGTACAGCATGAGTTTAATCCCCAGCCAGGGAGGTGACCCATAGGGTGTAGCAGACCCCTTCTGACCTGCCCACTGCACCCCGCTCACATTTATTCCCTTTGAGGTTGTACTCCGAAGAATATGTATGTAAGAGTCTGTATTTGTCTAAACTCAAATTGTTTCCTTAGATTTAGGGTTGGAGAGTAGCTATGATCATAGGATGGGCAATTTCAGGACCAATAAACTAACGATATAGTCCCTAGCACAAAAACTTAATTTCAAGGTTGTTTTGGAAACTGTCCTTGCAATTGTTCCTTTACCCAGAAATCTCTATGCCCAGATATGAGCATGGCCATTTCCCTCATCTCACTCCGGTGCTCTGTGCAATGGTCCCTTATTGGCGTCATCTTCCTGATCACCCCAGCTGAAGCAGTGCACACACATTCAGAAACAGCCTCTATGCACTTTTGGAAACCTTATTTTTCTTTCTCATTACTTCTCATCGTATAGATGCATTTGCTTACTTTTCTCCCCTCCCTTCCTTCCTCTTCCCCTCTCCACCAGTGTAAGCTCCATGAAAGAAGGAACTTTGCCTTTTGTGCTTATATCCCCATCCCGTTCGTCACAGAGCACTTGAATCTCTGAGATTCAATAAATAAGTGTCAGACAAATGAATGAACTGTTAATGTTTTAGCCAGATGCCATATATCTCCAGTTCTCTTCCCAGCAAGACACAAACCCAAACAAAGCTCCTGATATTCAAACAGGGCTAACACTAACATCTACTTAGATGTCTTTGTTGTTAAGAAGCAAATGTACCCATGTGAGCTGTCCTGAGAGTTTACTAAAATCAAGTTTCTCTTCTAATCTTCCCAGGCTCTAATACTAATTAACATACTAGTTGCCTCCTCCCCAGATTTCAAGTTTCTGATAATCCTAGAAACCCAGATCTCTTTTCTTACCATACTGATTAGAAGAGCTGGTGAAAAGAAGATAGTCAGAAGCACAGGTCCGGGACTCAATATCCACATCTCCCAACTTCAGAATCAATCTTTTCCCCTTTGGTACTGTGATAGTCTTTTCACAAACTGTGTGATTGGGGTAAGTCCCTGGATAATTCTTGGAAGTCATTGTGCCACTGTCCTGATAAGCCACTATGTGACCACAGCCATCACCTATTAAAGAAGAAAAAAAATACATGAAATTAGTTCTCAAAAGGACTGGAGAGTCTAGCACAGTCTGCAAATTATATATTTTGACCACTCTTTGGAGAGAGGGAAAATTTTTTTTGAAATGATTGTATTATTGAGTGGCATCCATTGTTTTAGGTTATTTTACTTGTCTTCCAGCTTAATCTTCTGAACACTGTTTACCCAAATCTTGCCTGTATTAGAATGGAAAGCCCTCTGTAAGTACATTTAATTGTATGACTTTTTCTAATCAACTATCCAGCTACCCATCCACATCAGTACAGCAGGCTCTTCGTGTTCACAAATTTGCCTTTTGTGGTTTTATCCATTGGCAAACGACCCCCTAAAAGTCAATGCCTTGTGATAAGTACCAAAAAATTACTCATGTCAGAGGATTATGATACTGATTAAGTGAAACAGTGTATGCAAAATGCTCCTGATAGTCTGAGGCTTTAGTTGAAAGGACTTTGTTTAAGAACATGCATTCAGCTGGGTACTGACAGCCTTTTCTCAATAATCGTAGTCACAGATGGAGGAGCCTGACAGACTCGGGGCATGTCATTAGAGAACATCAAGAATCTTTGTATTGACTGCTTGCATCATAGCAGACAGTAAACTGTTGGAAATACATAAAAGCAACCACAGCTGCTTCCTAGAAATCAGGGGAAAATGGGAGCAAATCACACATGGTGTGAGGCACCATGTGCTGGATCCGGAGCTTTAAGTGCAAAGGAAGCAAGGGAGAATCTATTTCAGTGACTTATCGGCACTTCATGAAAACAAGAAATATCCCTAAGGCTTTTCTGAGAAGAGCAGTTTAACAGCAGATCATCAAGGGACTCCTGTAGATTAAAGTGACCACATTAACCACATAAATATGGGATGAGGTATATATGGCCATGCCTGGTATTCAGCTTACAACTGTCAGCCTGGCTTCATGCAAACTAGGCAGAATTTCCAGCATTAGCCAGAGGGAGGGAAACTAGAATTCAGGAGAAGGAAATTTCTGAGATAGAGAATGTTTTTCCACCCTAAGATGAATGGAGAAGACCCAACTTGGGCATCATTGGAACCTGAAGCCAAGCAGCCATCTCCCTCCTCCAGCTTCTTCGCTGGCCAGAGTAGGGCTCACCTGCGATCTGCCTGTACTTTGCCTCCTTCTTGCTCTGAGGCTTGCTGTCTAAACAATAATGAAGGCCTAGTCCAAAAGATAAAAAATAAACGACTAAAAAAGCACGGTAGCTGAGAACTGCAGAATCTACATATTTCAACAAGCAAAAGATTAAAGAAAGGAACCACTCATTATCCAGAAATGCCCATAAGATTTCCACCAGCCTTGAAGAGGTTGGATTGGGGGACAGGGAACAGACATAATGGACTAGAGAATATGGGGGTGAGACGTGAAAATAGGCAGCTGAAGATAAAACTACTTGGAAACCTGGAGGTTTTTGCTGAAGCTGTGGAACTTACATGCTGGGTAACAGGGGCCCAGGGCTGGAAATGCAAGGTGGGGAGAGGAGTTTGTTTCTTGAAAAGGAGATAATGAAAGAGATATTTGAAAGAAGAATGTGAAGAATTTGAATCAGGACAGTGTAAGCCTAGAATGGAACAGGAAGAAAGGGGAAGAAAATGAGGTGGAAAATACATACGGGAAAATCCAAAGCCCAAAACTCAGGTTTTGGATAGCTAACACATAGGTTTTAGCTAGAAAAGAGGAGGTGGGGGGAAAACCCTGAGATTTTGAGACTGCAACTGATTGGAATACTGAGACTAATCTAGATAGAAAGGAAAGCCCAGAAAAGTCAGGTTTGGGGGCAAAGGTTTTAAGTTTGGTCGATAATTTTGACATAATAGCTATATTCCTTGGCTTTCAGGCAGCAAGAACAAAATTTTTGAGAATTAAATAAAAATGCACTACACAGAATCATATTGTGCAGAAACAGTGTACAGAGTTCTGATTAGAATCTCCATTATTTGCCTGCTTCTAAGGGCATTAATAAAAAAAACCAATTTACAATATTTTATTTTGAAAACTGGAAGTCATGGCAACTATCTGAACAAGATTCTCAAAGGGTTAGTGAATGATGGCTGCCCCCCTAAAGGGAACAAATGCCCTGTTCCTGGCCAGGTCTGTATCATTTTGAGCACTGACAAGACAACCTGGGGTAACTAGTGTACAAGCAATATACAATTAACTCTAAGTCACAAAGATATTACCAAACACTTAAATGCCTCTTTACTTAGTATTGTGAGATTCTGCTTTAAAAAAAAAAAAAGACTTATTTATGCATACAGAACTGGAGTACAGGCCAGAGGTACAGGACCAGTGAGAGGATTCACCAGAAATAACAGTGGGAAGCAGAACAGGCTGAGTAATGAAATACACTGCTGAGGGGAGCAGTGGGCAGGTCAAGAGAGGTCTGCCACGCCATGTGATCACCTCCCTGAGCTGGGATCGAACTCATGCTGAAGTGGCTTTTTAGCTTCTTAGTGCTGCGCTTTAACCAGCTGTGCCACCAGGGAGGACCAGATTCTGCTTTAATGAGAGAAACTTGTTGTGGTAACACAGCAAAATGGCTTAATTATACATTGTTACCAACCTATACATTGTTATTGCTTTCTCAAATGTATTTAAGTACAATTCCTAGGGTCCCTTTTATTCAATTCTATTATTGTACTTTTTTCTAATCTTACTCTAAAGCCTAAGAGGAAACTAATTTCACCCAGTGATACTGGAAAAACATAAGCAACTTTAAGTCTTCAACATTCCCATCATTCCTTTGCATGGGAGATTTGAGACTCCTTGGAAAAATTTTACTTTTCCATTAACAATCAGAGAGAGTCTTTTTTGTTCTGTCCTAGAAATTGAAAGGAATTGCTGTTGTAATTTATTAAGAAGCAATCTGTCATCCGAAGTTGCAATTTCACTCTTGCGTATAGTAAGAAACTCCAGTTTTCTGTGGCAAGCATGAATATGAAAAATAATCCCACAGATATTAGCTAGATCAGGAATTTTTACCCTGTTATTCTTCCACAGTTTTGATGATTTCAAAGGACTAGATATAGCCACATTATTATATACTTGAAAGTTGCTGAGAGAGTAAATCTTAAATGTTCTCACCACAAGAAAGAAATGATAATTATCTGAGGTGATGGAGGTGTTGGCTAACACTAAAGCAGTAATAATTTCACAATATTTTCAGGATATCAACTCAACACATTGTACACTTTAAGCCTGCCACTTGTCACATGTCAGTTATATCTCAATAAAGCTGGGAGGGTACAAAAAGGACTTGAAATATGCCCAGGAGGAAAATGGAAAGTCCCTTGGGAGAGAAAGTGCCTCCAGGATCACATATTGAGTACAGAACAGGCAGGCCAATGGAAGACGGTGCAGAAGCTTGAGTCCCATGGCTTATCCTGACTCTCACAGACAGGATTTACACAGCAGGAAGCTGACAAGTTATTTAAAAACTGTTGGTTCAAATTCCACATTTTGTGTATCAATACTAATATCCTGCTTGTGATATTACACTATAGTTTTACAAGATATTATCACTGGGGGAAGATAAGCAAAGGGTTTACATCCCTCCCTCTGCATTATTTCTTACAACTAAATGTGATCTACAATGATTACAGAATAAAAAGTTTCATTAAAAATTTGTCAGTCCGGGTAAGTTTGGCTGGTGGGAGATAAAATGAAGGGTTTTTTATTTTCTATTTTATACTTTTCTAGGCTATCTGGATGTTGTTATCCTGTCTGTTTCTCCTATATAAATTATTTTAAATAAAGCTTGCATTGAAATGATCAATATGGAATGACACTAATAATGACTTTTATTCTAGATGTTTTTGTATCAAATTTCGTATCCAGGTTTCTCATGTCTGTCTAAAAACAGGGTATTTGAGTCTGTCTGAGGGAGGTTCAAAAGAGAGGTCAGGGCAGTAAAAATAGCTGGCAATATGCTGATGGTTGCTGTGACTGGGTAATGAGGGCTTAGAGGATTTTAAAAAGTTAAAATAAAAAAAGGTCAATCTTTAGGGGGGGAAAAAAATCAACCTGGTTTATGATTGAGCTCCATATGGTGTTGGGAGGTGGGTTGAGCCAAAGTGGGGCAATCTGCCAGTGACAGTTCAATTAAACTGCTACCCACCCACGATCAAAGGGGGCAGCTAGAAGAGGAGGGAGGAGGAAGCTTCCCCACAGGGAATCTGTCTACTCTTTAAAAGTGTAGCTACCTCTAAATGTTTATCTTTTTCTTCTTTTGAACTGTAATTTAATTACCAAAACACATGATGACTAAGCTATGTATCATTTCTCTCTCTCCCAGGCCTGGAAGTTCCTGCACTGCAGGGCATCTGCAGTCCCCTCTCCCCAGGATGTCTGATCCTGGGCCTTGCCAGGATCATACCTGGTTTGTGAGAGAGACGTGCAACTTCCTCAAAATAATGGATAAAGTTCAGAAATGGAAAGATCTGCAATGAATGTTTATAACTTCCTAAGTGACAGCTACACAAAATTTAAATGTTTAAATTCTGGACACTTGGAAGCAATTTAAATTAGGAAACAACAGTAGAACTGAGACATCTCCAAGCAGTGTGATGTTCAGGAAAAGTTAAACTCAAGTTTTAGAAGACTCTAATTTTAAAACAGAATGTAGAATATAAATATAGAAATGAAGAAAAAATGTCTAAAGTATCTCTAGGGTGTGGAATTACAAGGGACTTTCATTTTATTGATACATTAAAAAATTTATACAATGTGAATACATTAATATATATAAAATCAGAAAAGTAATATAATTTAAAATGTTAAATTCACCGTATCGTCTGAAATATTCAAGGCTATTTTCAACATTAACTTGGATGTGTAGACTAAAAGAGGTCTCTATAAACCAACATGCACAAAATATCATTAAAAATTTTACCCAACAGGGTCCTCCTTGGCAGCGCAGTGGCTTAAAAGTACAGCACTATAGAGCTACTGCAGCCACTGCAGCACATGTTCGATCCCTGGCCAGGGAGGAGACCCACATGGTGTGGCAGACCTCTCCTGACCCACCCGCTGCTCCCCTCAGCAGTATATATCTGCCTGTTCTGCTCCCTGCTCTGTCTTGGGTGAATCCTCTCCCTCTCCTCCTCCCACACCTCTGGCCTGTACCCAGTTCTGTATGCATAAATACATAAATCTTAAAAAAAAAAATTTCAATTACTCAACAAATAACTAGGAATTCAGTCAAATGTAGTTTCCATTTCAAGGAACTCACAGTGAAGGAGAAAGAGAAATATGTTAAAAAGTAATTGCTGAGAACAAAGTTCAAGTCCTAAAAACAGACACATGGGTTCAAAATCTGTTCTCAAATGCCTGAAATAAATAAATATATCTCTATTTTTCTCCTTTTAACATCAGCTATTCTGGACTATGGATAGACAAGGTATTTTCTAAGTTAGCTTGAAACAAACCCTAGATGCTTGTCTACATAAGACAAAGGTTTATTTAGTCTACTCTAATTCCATCTACTAAGAAAGGAAAACAATAACTTCCTTAAAAGACTATTTCCCTTTGAGAAGTAATCATGTTCCACTCGCAGAGAACAAAATTAAGATCCACCAAGTGTAGGCTAAGTTTTGCAATACTGAAAGGCATGATTTGAGCTTAAAAAATAATCAAAATGTACTTGATGAAAACTGCTTCAAGCAAAATGATTAGTTAAAAAATATCTTTGGCCCTCCCTGGTGGCGCAGCGGGTTAAAACACAGCACTGAGAATCTAAAGCCGCTTCCGCATGAGTTCGATCCCCACCTGCCCCGGAGGTGACCACATGGTGTGGCAGATCTCTCCTGACCCGCCCACTGCTCCCCTCAGCAGTGTACTTCGTTGATCTGCCTGTTCTGCTCCCCACTCTGTCTCTGGTGAAGCCTCTCACCATCCCTGAGCCTCTGGCCTGTACCCCAGTTCTGTATGCACAAATAAATAAATCTTTAAAAAAAAAATATCTTTAAGACTATTAACTAGTCTCCAGAATAAGACAACAGTCTTCTAACTTTTTTATTATTATCTATGGTTAGAACATAATTTTTCATCACAACCTAACCAAAAAAAAAAAAAAACTCTAATGTAATTTTTTATTATTTGTAATGTACTCTGATTATTTCCCATTCTATTCTAAGTTCATTTTTAAATGAAAAGCATGTGGG